CTCCTCCTCCTCCTCCTCCTCAGGATCCTCCTCCTCCTCCTCCTCCTCCTCCTCCTCCTCCACAGACGGAGCTAAGGATCAATCCGCTCCCGAGGGTTCCAGAGCGCTCGCAGAGCGTTCCGGAACGCTCTGAGAGGGCCGCGGCGCCCGAGGCATCTTCGGGGTCTCGGAGATTTTCTATTTATCTTCACCCGATTATATCCTCGTCCCAGCTTCGTCTTGAGGACGGCCCGCAGGCGCTCTTTTGCCCCCCCCCCCCCCCACCACCACCACCACCACTCCTGCGAGAACGCCCGGTACCTGCCATGCCGTGGCGTGGTTTTTCTTCGCGCAGCCCTTTGGCCGCCGCAGGGGCTGCCCCGTGCTTGCTAAGTCGCCCTGCTTCCGTCGGCGTTCGCGCCAGGCGCGCCCTTCGCCCCCCCCCATTCCCCCCTCCTCTGCTCGTGTGCAGGCGAGGAGCAGGAAGGGGGCGGAGGTCGGGATGGGTCAGGAGCGATGGGTCAGAGGAGGAATATGTACCTATAACGCTACCCTTTGCAAGTTTTCCCCTGTTGGGACCTCGTGGGAGGTCGGTCCTCTTCGCCACCGCTGGGTTCGCTTCGACAGTATGGCCAGAACGCATCCCCCCTGGGGAGGTCCCGGGAGTGGCGGCATCGATGCCTTCTGTGGTTTCCCCAATGGCGGGGGGGGAGGGGGCAGGGGGAGTGGAGAGGGAGGGGGGGGGGACAGGAAGACTGAGAGGGAAGGGCGGGAGCGCGGGGGGTGCGGGAGGGAGGCGGGGCGGGAGGGGCAAGGGAGGGGGGGACGGGGCCGCGGGGCGAGCCGGCAGCAAGGGGCGCCCGTGCCCGGAGGCGGCAGCCAGCGGCGGCCTGCCCACCACGGGGAGGCCCGCCCCGCTGCCCGCCTGCCTCCTCGCTCGCCCCCCCCTCCCCCCCCGCGGCCCCGTGCGGGGCTGTGGCCATCGAGGATAACAAATTCCCGAACCCTGATCACCGAATGAGGACGTGGCCTCACTGAGCGCCCCGTCCTTGCACTAGTGAGAATCGTTCTGGGCGGTTTGGTCTGTACATCTGCAGGCAGGACAGGCCCCCTGGCCCGGATGTTGTTGGCGCAGAGATTAACGATGATCACAAGTATGAACGATGACTGTGGCCAATCCCGAAGGAATCCAAGCCAACGAGGAAGCTGAAGATGAAGATCAACTTCAGTCCGTGCCAGAGGAATATATAAAGGAAGAGCCGACGTAGATGATGGTGGTCAGCCTCTTCGCCACGCCTAACTTTGGTCCCCCCCCAGAGGGTGGGGGTTCTTTTTTTGGCTACGCATCTGGGGCGAGGGAGGCAGGCGAGCAAGGGAGGGGCTCTCCCTGGGGGAGGGAGCTCTCGGGCTCCCCCTCCGCTGCTCCCCCCCTCCGCTCCCCTCGTCTCCCTCCCCCTCCCACCCCCGCTCCCCGCTCCCCGCTCCGCCCCGCCCTCCCATCTCCGCTTCCCCGCCCCTTTCCCTGTCCCGCCCCCGCCCCCTCAGCACCTCCCGCGTTCCGTGTGCCCCGCTCCCCCCCGGTTTAGGTCGGCCATGTCCCTCTACCGGAGGAGTATTCAAACATAGAAGAGAGAACTAGTCTGGGGACGATGCTTCGATCATGTTTGGCCAAGTTTGATTTCTTCCTGCCAGCTTTTTTTTATGTTTCTTCCAGAATCCGCCCGTAGGAGGACATGCCCGACCTGCATGCAATTCTCCTCTCCTTTTAGCCCCCCGCTCTTCTGTCATGGCTCCTCCGCGTGACGAGACAGACGACTGCCGACGCGGTGCGCAGGCCGCACGACGACCGAAGGAGGAGGGAGGAGGCCCTGCGACCGCGTGCCAACAGAGTCCTCGAGACGGCGGCTCGCACACGGGCGAAGCAGGAGGCACGCCCCCCAAAACCACGAGGAGATGCCCACCCGATCTGCTCGAGCAGCTGCCCCGCAGGTGGCCCCCACCACTGCACTGCGCGGCACGTGCGGTCGGGAACGTTGGCTTCGCACGTCGCTCCGCCGGCTCTGGCCCCCACCACACTTCGGCGCGACACGTTCTCCACGTCCCCCAGCACCCGAGCGTCAGTGCCCCGAGCCTTTCCCAGCCTCCCGCCTCGCGGAGCGGAGCGACACACGCTGTCTGCCTGCAGGGCACGGCGTGCCGCCGGGGCCGCCGCGGCGACATGGTAAGCAAAATAGCAGTTCCCGACCGTAGCCATCTCGGCTCAGGGGTTGGGCGGGCGCCAGTCTGGCCGCAAAAGGGCCGGCCTCGGCGCGGCGGGGCGGCGCGGGTCCTTGCCGCAGTGCCTCCCGCCGAGTCCCGCGGGCCGGCGCGGGCCATGGGGCCGCGATGCTGGCCCAGTCCTGCCTGCCTTACGTGGACACACGCCTCCGCGCCCTGGCGGACGGGAGGGGCGCGCTGCTGAGCCGCGCGTCGGTCGAGGAGCGCCGGTGGTCAGTATCGTTGAACCGACCCCTATCCCCATCCCCATCCCCTTCGAGACCCCCACCAAAGTACCCCCCCAGTTGGCGATACACCCCTCGAAGCCCGAAGGGAACGGCCTGTATCCCCATTAGGGACCTGGGGGGTAAATGGGCCAGTGGAGCCCAGGCCACGCCGCTGGGGATACTTAGCATCGCTCGGACGTGCGCATTTTTCCTTCGGCGAGGACAACCAAGGAGCATCCTTGATCATTTGGCGAAAAAACCACGCACGAAACCGAAAATACACAGGGAATGGACGTCTAAGCGATGGCGAGGGATAGGGATCGGATAAACGGTGCTCAGGTGGAGGGATGCCGAGCGGGACGTGGAGGCCCTGGCAGCGAAGCTCTCGCAGGCCCACGGGGACCTCTGCGCCGCCGAGGGGGAGCTGCAGAGCCTCACCGCCAGGGAGGGCGAGGCCGAGAGGGCCCTCGAGGCCGCCGCCGCAGCCGTGCAGTGCCCCACCAGGCGGGGGGGGTTCTCCGAAGGGCTTAGGCGACCCGTCCTCCTCCTCCTCCTCCTCCTCCTCCCGCCTCCTACCTCACTCAACCTCCAGCTCCTCGTCATCATCATCATCAACAACACCATCATCATCATCATCATCACATCATCATCTCATCAGCATCATCATCATCATCATCCCTCCTCCTTCCCCCCCCCCCCCCTTTTTTCTCCTCCTCCTCCTTTCCCCCTTCAAACCTCCCACCACCTCCCTCCTCCTCCTCCTCCTCCTCCTCCTCCTCCTCCTCCTCCTCCTCCTCCTCGTCCTTCTCCTCCTCCTCGTCCTCCTCGGGTCGCCTACGGCCCCGGGGGAAACCGTCCACCAGGCAACAGCTAGAGGAGGTGCGCTGCTTGCTGCTGCCTCCAGCAGCACTCCAGAGGCAGCAGCGCGTGCCTCTCCACCGCGCCCGCAGCCTGGTCGCCCAGGAAGACAAAACAGCAGAAACTTGGACTTTCGGAGGTCCGCGCGGATTTCTTGGACCATCGCCTGACCCCAGGGCGGTTCTGGAGGCGCCGCCAGAAGGGCCTAGCGCAGATCCGAGAAGTCTGGGATGGAGGCCTCGAAAGTTTATGTGGGTACCCTTTGCTCTTCCTCGAGGTCGTGAGGCGAGCCCTGTCCCTGGTGCACGCGCTCCTGCACCCCGAGGATCGGCGGCGCGCCCAGGGAGCAAGCGAGACGAGGCCAGCCCGCTTCCTACGGCTCAGAAGGCTCCGGCCGACCGAGAAGCTTGCCAGGGCTCTCCGAGAAGGGGGCCTCTCGGGAGGCTGGCGGGCCTCAGCCCTGCCCCCTCGTGCTTCCCCTCTGGGCGGCGCCGACGAGAGGAGATCCCCGAGGACGGCCCGGCCCTGGTCTCAGACTGGGAGCGCCTGGGCCTGCTGCTGCGGGAGAGCCTGCTGCAGAGGGTGGGCAGCTTCCCGCCCTCGGCGCACCCGCTGGTTACCCACCCGCACGTGATGCAGCTGATTCCGGAGAAGAGACACTTGCACGAGCATGCGGTGGGGGCGCTGGCTAAGGAATGCGCCCGGGAGGCCTCAGACCCTGGAGGGTACCCTGCGTCACGAGGGCGGCTGTGGCAGCTGTGGCCAGCCCACGGTTGGTGCCCCACCAGCCTCCAGACCGGGGTCACGTGTTCTTTGCCCATTGCCCTCACAGTAACACGTCGAAGGTCCGAGCGGAGTTCTTGGACCGAGCTGCCCCCCCCACGCCTCAGTCGCCTGCCGTGCCGCCCTCGGCGCGCGCTCCGCGCGCCAGAGAGGGAGGGCCCAGCGCCGATCCGAGAGCTCTGCGCGGACCTTCGGGGAGGAGGAGGAGGAGGAGGAGGAGTGAGAGGAGGCGGAGAGGAGGCGGGGGAGGAGGAGGAGGGGAGGAGAGGAGAGGAGGAGGAGAGGAGAGAGGAGGAGGAGGAGGAGGCCCTTCCTGCGCGTGCCGAGTCGTCTTCTCCCGCGGTCGCGGCGCACGTCGAGGGCGGCCCACCAGGGCCGGGAGGCCCGGCGGGCCTCCCCGCCCCGCGGGACCATCTCGGGGGTTGCTCGAGGTGTCCCTCTGGCCCATGGTTGAAGTCGGCCATGTCCTCTACAGAGGATCATTCAAAGACACACACCCATACATATATATATAATATATAATAAATATATATAATAATATATATATGATATATATTCTCATACGCACCTCTCCGAGGGAGTAGAGCACAGAGGGATTAATTGCTCCGTGCGAGCGTCCGTCATTGATTTCTTTTGTATGACCTGGCACACCACGTGCACTTGTATATATAAATATATATATATATATATATTTTAATAAATCCCAATCAGAGCTTGCCTTCTGTAGGGGTCCTAGCGGATATAAAGCTAGGTGAGGTCGGCTGGCGATTTCGGTGGCCCGGGGCCGGGTGCCCGGAGGCCCTGGGTTGCCGGTGTGGCCGATTTCGGTGGCCGGCCCGTGGCCGGGATGCCCGGGGGTGCCGGTGCCACGGTGCCCGGGGGTGCCCGGGTGCCCGGGGGTGCCCAATAGCCGCAATAGCCCAGTAATCCGAATAGCCCTTATAACGGCGACGATGGAACACAGTGCCGGGGAACTGCTTTGAACATCACCAGTCGTTCAAAGCAGTGCCCCGGCACTGCTTTGAACGATGCGGAAATGCGATCAGCAGGAGCCTTCGTCTGTTCCTTCTCCTCTTCTCGTCGCTGTATGCTCTTCCTTGTCCTCCCTCCTCCCCCGTTCCCTCTCTAATTAATTACCTCGTTCTCCCAGTCTCACGCGCACTCTTCCTCCCCCCTCTCCTCCTCCTCTTCCTGCTTCTCCTCCTCGTCCTCCTCCTCCTCCGCCTCCTCCCCCTCATTTGTTATATTTCTCCGTCCTTGTCCTCCTGTCCCCGTTCTCCTTCTCCCTCTCCTCCTCCTCCTCCTCCTCGTCGTCGTCGTCCTCCTCCTCTTCCTCCTCCTCCTCCTCCTCCTCCTCCTCTTCCTCCTCCTCCTCCTCCTCCTCCTCCTCCTCCTCCTCCCCTTCTTCCTCCTCCTCCTCCTCCCCCTTTTCCTCTCCCTCCTCCTCCTCCTCCTCCTCCTCCCCCTTCCCCCTCTTCCTCCTCTGCTATCACTCCTCCATAATTCCTGTCCGCTCCTCCCCTTCACTGATCTTCCTCTTCGTCATCATCATCCCTTTCGTCGCACGCCTCTTAATCCTCAATCGGTTCCCAATCTTCTCGACTTTCTTGTCATCCGCGTCCTTGGCTGTTGGAGGGGCCTCAGGAATTCTCAGGGCTCTTGTGTTGCACGCGAAGGCACACCTCCCAGGAACGCATCATCCTCCTCACATTCACCCTCCTCCTCCTCATCCTCCTCCTCCATGCACGTTCGGCTCAAGCCCGCGCCGACGGTAGGTTTCACG